ACCATGACCACCACTATCACCACCAAGACCAAGACCATGACCATGATCATGACCACCACCACCACGACCACGACCATGACCATGACCACCACCACCACCACCACCACCTCCACTACCAAGAATTTGTTCTTGCAAACACTTACACTGTGTCTGTTTCTGAGTCTAGTGCTTCATGTAATTACATACAGCAGAGAAAGCTCAGGACATAGTGTGTTCATGCAAGAACCTGCACATGCAAGTTCTCTGTGGTACCGTCTATGACTCTGAGATAATGATACTACAGCTTCCAGCGTCACGTTACCCCCCATGGAGGCAGCTCTGGCTCACACTGACATCATGGTCTAACTTCGCCCTGTCCCGAGCCATCCTCACAGTCTCCGCTGTGCTTTTGTAAAATAGCAAATATGCTGTATTTAACACACATACTTTGCTGAAAGAGGCCTGAGGCTCAATTGGCATCAGCCTGCTGTATTTAATAATCTCTCTGTTGCAGTTGCTGTATCAATCTATCTGATAAAAGGTCTTCCTCTCCTTCACTGACGCTCTCTCATTGAAACATGATGCTCTTTTTCAGTGACTGGATCCTCTTGACAACATGCCCACCCAACGTACGTAAGATGAAGCGTCATCATCCTGGCCTCTGAGGCGGTCTCTATCTGCACTTCTTTCCATACTCACCTGTTTGCTTTTCTGGAAGTCCGTGGGATTCAGCACTCTTCTCCAACACCACAATTCAAAGGAATGCCTTCTTCTGTCATTCTTATTCATGGTTCAGCTCTCCCTTGTCTGTGAAGCAACTGAAAATACCAAGGCTAGGTCTTTTATTTTGGGTTTTGGTTTTTTAAAAAATTAATTTTAAGTTTACAGAGACTTTGGATTTCCATTCATTCATTGTTGCACTTTTCTCCCTGCCCAACCTCCCCCCCCACCCCAGTTTGCTCTTCTCTTCGAAAAGCAGAAGAAAAGAAAAATCTTTCATTGTTATACAGTCCCTTTCCCCAAGTCCACTCCACTATACAGTGAAGTTTTGAAAAGTAAAAGAAAAATTCTTTCATTCTTATACTATCCCTTCCCCTAAGTCCACTGTACTATGCAGCCTTCGTTCTGGACTCCTGTCATGACAATAATACCTAATCATATATCCCTTTTCAAACAGTTCTCTCCCTCATCGGTTTCAATGCAGTATACATAGCTCTAGTCTTTTAACTTACATTATTGATCTTCAGCAAGGTTCTAGAATCAAGGTCCTTAAGCAGGGTTCAGTATCATGTTGTTAGGTGTCACTGAGTTGTGTGTGACCCACAGCAACCCTATGAACAACAGATCTGAACCCTGTCCTATCTTGTGCCATCGTCACACTTCCTGACACACTAGAGCCCTCTGCAGCAGTCACTGTATCAATACGTTTGGCCGAGGCTCTTCCTTTCTTTCACAGACCCTCTACCCATCCAAGCATGATGTCCCTCTCCAAGGAACAGCCCGTTTTAAAAACATGCTCGAAGTATGTGAGGTAAAGCTTTATCATCTGGCTGCACTTTCTCCAAGACATATTTGTTTCTTCTTTTGGCAGTCCATGGGATTGTTCAGTACTCTTCTCCAACACCACAGCTCAGAGCCTCAACTTTTCTGTCATCCTTTTTCATTGTCCAGCTCTCAGATACATAACATTTCAATAATTTGGAGAGATCCCTGACTGCAGACTTTCCCAGTGCAAAGCATCTCCTGATTTCCTGACTGCAGTTACCATAGCAACATGCAAACTGTGCTCAAATAGTGGTGTGAATCTACCCTCTGAAGCAAAGACCTGGGAATCGGTTTCTGTTAAAAGGATTGTAAAAACCAAAACAAACCTCCATGGAGCAGTTCTACTCTGTAACACATGGGGCCACTGTGAGTGGAAATGAACTTGGAGGGAACGAATTGCATCAATAATCTTCCAGCATCTCAGGCATGTGCTAACTACACCAATATGATTATGTGACATGATTAGAACCCAAACTCATAGCTGTCAAGTCAGAACTTACTGATAACCGCCCCTCCATTGGGTTTCTGAGGCCTCTAAATGGTGCAGGAGGAGATTGCCCATTTGTCTATGGAGGAACCCCTGTGAATACCACCTGAGAGGTGCCACCTTTGGGTTGGCAGCCTAGCTCCCCATAGACTAGACCATCTCAACTCCCCACCTTCAACTTCCTTTAGCTGATATGCAAGTAGTAAAAGTTTAAGTATCAGCAGGATGGCACGTGGTGGTCAGGCTTGAGCAGAGCTTCTAGAGAATACAGACTAAGAAGGCATTAGGCAGAAAGGTCTGGGAGTCTACCGCTGGTAATGAACCAAGGGGAGCCCTGCGGGTTGCACAATGTGGTCTGAGGTGATGTCTTGCTCACTTGTCATCAGCAAAGAGTCATCACCACTGGAAGACACAATGCCTGGTAAACCCGAGGGCCGATGAAAACGAAGAAAATTAATGGTGGACTCAAACATGTCTCCGATCACACTGGTGTGCAGAACGAACCCCAGTATATCTGACAAAACTCCAGAAACCAAACCCACCCTCAGGGAGCCAGTGCTGACCCATCGTGCCCCATGGGACAGAGTGGGATGACTCCACAGAGCTTCCTGGGTGGTGAGTCCTCACAGGAACGAACTGCCTCACCTGTGTCTCATGGAGTGGTTGGTGGGTTCAAACTGCCTACCTTTTGGTGTGAGCCTATTGCTCAAACCAAGAAATCTTTATGGAGCTCAAGTCTGTTTTGTCATACATGGGTCACTATGAGACCAAGTCAACTTTATGGCTAATGATTGTGGTGTTTTGTTTTGTTTTTATCTTTTGAGGCTCAGAGAAGTGAATTATTGTTGTTATGTGCTGTCGAGTTACCTGCTATTCATAGTGACTCTAAATCCTGCTCTATCCTGTGCCAATCTTATTGTCTCTGACACACCTACTACTATTATCCCAATCACTGAATCAATCCATCTCATTGACGGTCTTCCTCTCCTGTGCTATCCTTCCACCCTCCCAAGCATGACGCCCCTCTCCAAGGACTGGTCCCTCTTTGCAACATGTTCAAAGTATGTCATATGAAGCTTCAGAATCCTTGATTCCAAGGAGCAGCCTGGCTTCACTCTCTCCAGGATGAACCTGTTTGTTCTCCTAGTGGTCCGTGGTATATTCCATACTCTTTTCCAGCACCACAGCTGAAAGGCATCAATTCTCCTTCTATTCTCCCTAAGCCATTGTCCAGCTTTCTGAGGCATAGCAAATAATTACAAAGACCATGCCTTGTATCAGGTGCACCTTAGTCTCCAGATTGACGTTGCTCTTCAGTGCTTTGGAGAGGTCTCTGACAGAAGACTTTCCCAGTGCAACTTGTCTTTTAATTTCCTGGTTGCTGGTACCAAGAGTGTTGATTGTAGAGCCAAGCAAACTGAAGCTGTAGCTTGTTATAATTTACACAGCTGGTGAATGATGGGACTGAGATTTGGATGCAGGTGGTGAGGCTATGAGCTTGGCACTTGTCCATAGCATGCATTACCTGCTGGGGTCATAGCTGGGTCTCCAATGCCTTGGTTTGTTTGTGATTAGTACACATAGGATTTCAGATGTTTGCAAATTGCGTCTAGCAACACTTAGGATTTCTGCAGTTGCCCCCTTGACTATCTTTGTGAAGCCTCTTCAGTCTGGGGCGTCCAGTTCTGCGGGGGGGGTGGGGTGGGTGGCAGTGGCCCTCTCTATGACTCCTTGAAGATCCAGTTCATTTTCCCTTTGGTGCTTAGAGGTCAAGAAGTAGGCTCTGGGACTTCAGGCTCTTTTCTTTGTTGTGCCTGAGGGGTGCATGCCTTCTGGAAGCCCTGGTAGAATTCCATCTCCACGAATACAGTGGGGTTTGGAAATCATTTGTAAGAGCTTCCTGCTTTGTCTTTTGCCAGCTTTTTACATATAAAGAAAGCTATTTCCTAAGCAGACAACAATGCCTTGGGGCTTCCTTACTCCTACACAATGATGCAGCCTCAGATCTGCTTTACTTTGTTCCAAAGAGGTTTATTTGTTGGGCCCTGAGCTCAGCAGCACAAAGAATGTAAGTCCACCAGGTTCAAACTCTGTTCTCAGACCCTCTGTTTGGGAAAGGGGGAGAAGATTGCCAGTGGGAGTCCTCACCAGGGAAGTAGCATTGTAGCAAGCCTTGAGAGATACTCGGATTGAAAAAACAGAATCCTGGTGAAAAGTATACAGAGTCAAAAGGCACCTCCTGCCAGCAATTGCTAGACACACAGTTCGGTGACACTGGCTACATCCTTGACCGTGTGGACTGTCCTTGTCATGTTATGTTCATATCACTGCCCTCTAGGGTTCTCATCCAGCTTTCCAAGTTGCTTTTATCAAACCACTTCTCAGCTTCTCAGGTTGTTTTGAAGGACCCCCGAACTGCTGGTCCTGTTCTGTCCCGAGTGGACGGCGAAGACCCAAGACTCCAAGACACCGGCTTGATGCAACAGCAAGAGGTAAGAGGTTTATTGCGGAGCTCCGGGCCGACACGTATCTCTTGCAGGAGACAGAGGAGCCGACCGCGAGCAGACAAAGTTGGGTTTTTTTATACACTTTAGGGGGATACAACTGGGTATCAGCTTCTCATTGGGTGATGAAAGCACAGTTTGAATTCATTGGTTCAGTGTTCGCTTAGGGTTTACACAGCATATTTGCACGTAGCACTTGCGGCAGTCACGTAGCACATGTAGCAGTTAGATAGATCTTTAACTATAGGGTGGTGTCACAAATTCTTAAGTATACAATGAGTTCAAACTCCAGGGCAGTGGAAAAGCACAAGATACATTGGTTATCAGTCGGGAAACAAAGGCACATGGGTTATCAGTTGAGAAACAACATCTGCTTGTTTGCTCTGCCCTTCTGCTTGTTTGCTCTGCCCTTTAGTTAGCCATTCTTGAAATACTGTTGTCCTGGATACAACTGGGTGTGGGGCTCTACCCGAGACAATGGAAAAATTCCTGAGTTTAACTTAGCTGAGAACTATAGAAACCTGAGTTTAATTCAGCTGAGAACTATAGGGACTATTTTAATTTCAAT